ATAAATCGAGGTCAGTTTGCTTTTAAAATTTTTGGGAACTTGGTTCACCTATTGCACTGTTCCTCAGGGCTCCCCAATGCAAATTACCCACAGATTCTACTAGTGGAGCTAGGGTGTCCATACTACACCCAGTTTCCAGTCACTGGGGTGGTGGACAAAGGCAAAGTTGGTGGCCCTCTTACCCGGATCCCTGAATGTTTTTTCCAGATGTCACTAGGAACGGAGCCAGCCTACAGGGGAGCCTTCTCATAATGGTAACTCAGATTTGATACTCGGTTATCGGCACTTCTTTTAATCAATATCGGTTTAGTATATTGTTCATAGCCAAAGGTCCACTATCTCCTCGTAATTCAGAATGCAGAGTAGTCCCATCCTGGGTCCTCGGTTGAGCACAGTGTTACACATCCTCTCCATAGTTCTGGGGGCAAATGGAAGGCCCCTTGCCCAACTAAGAGCCAGTGTAAGAGATTGGGATGGTATCTGTCTTGAAAATAAAACTATCTGAATGAGGTGCTTATATGCAGTACCAGGATAGAGGATGCATTGACATAGGTGGAGAGTGTTACAAAACAATTATCACCAAGGGCAATTAAGTGGGGTATAAATGACTGGAGCAAGTGAGAAAAAATCAGACTAATGCTTAGATCGGCAAAGAAATTTCAGTTTAGGAAAATGTTAACTTCCAACTTCATATCAGTCAGATAGTAAAAGTAAGAGTAAAGATTAGCAAGCCATCATAGGTTATGTTATGCAGAAGGAGATTTATTGTCAGTAGGTAAATTCTTGAATGAGACAGTTCGTGAACCTAATCATTACAAGCATTGAAACTGTAAATTTGTACAATAACTGCAAGAATCTAATACAAAAAAAAACATTTATACAATTAAACACATAACTATGATATATATATACATTATGACTTTTAAGAAAAATCTAATTTCTCATTATAACCTGAAAATAAAATATGAAAGGTTAGTATTAATGAATTATCCAGTATTGAAAGTTTCAAAACAAACATACAGTTATGTCTTTGTGGGGTTTGTGAGATCTGACTCAGTAGTTATTTATAAGTATATATATAATGTTAAATGATTAATATTAGTGTGCAGTATCATCATAAATATTTTAGTATCTAAAAATGTTTGGGTGGCTTTTAAGAATTATAGAATTGTTTAGAAATAGCATTACTTTTGAAAATTTAGATTCTTAACTACTGTGTTTTGTTGGGACTGCTCTTAGATAATAGTGTGGTTTTAGTTCATTTAGGTTTTTAATCATCTTTATTAAATATTATTTATCTGAACTCAATCAAATGTGGGAAAATTGCTGTATAAAACCCTGTTAGTCCACAACTTTTAAGACTAAAATATCCATATACAAATTGTTTAGCTGATAAGCTGTACTGCATCCCATAGTAATCAAGAGCAGATGTGAGACTTCAGATAATCTGTTATATTCAAACTTAAAACTAGTGATAAGAAAAATCTTGGTAATCTGTTTCATGCTTTAAATTCTGTATTATAGAAAATTATATTTGTTCATTGACACACACAACATTATAGTTTTTCCTAAGGTTTGCGTTTAGTCTCCCCCACCCCCCAAGGGTTTTGTTACTACTTGCACAATCTCACATAAAGTGTCTTTACTTTTAAGTTGTAATTTATTCAGTACAATTTTTGATAGATTAACATAATTTAGCTGAATTGCATGTTTTTTTTTAAGTCTGCAAATTATATATGGTTCAGAATAATAATATTATGTTTGATAGCTCAGAATAGCAATATTAATAAAATACAAGTCTACAGAAAACAGAAACGTTTCTCTGTGGAGTAAGGCATTTCATCTGTAAAGTATGTACAGAAAGTGTCTGTAAGGTTTTAATTTTCACAAATAGTGGCATTTCAGTAACACTTTAAACCTCCTTTGCCAATTTTACCTAGGAAGGTGATATATGTTATAGCATCCTTGTCTAAATAAGAAGACTGATACTTTGTTTTTTTTCCCAGATTCTTTCCAAATAAGTTGTAAATACTTAAAATTTTCCTAAACAGATTTTTCGTAAATATTTTGTTTATTGAAGTCATACTCATTTTTTTTTTTCCAGTTACTAGGATACAGTTTTATGCCATAGAAATTGCTCGAAACAAGGAAGGTCATAATGACTGCATTAGGACAGTGTATAAGCCATCTTCCAGAAAAAGCAACAAGAGTAATTCATAGCTGTTGTTACACATTACAAACTTATTCTTTAATTCATTATTATAACTTTTTATGAAAGAAAAAATAAATTGGCAAAATTACATGTGTATATTCTTTGGTCCTCATTTAAAATAATAGGTCTTTCTTTTGGAAAGATGGCAACATTCAACTATCTGCAACAATGTTTTTATGATTTTGTAAAAGTTTGTCATAGTGTCAATATTTATTTTGGTATGTTTAATGGTTAGTTGATTTCCTTTATGCTAAATTCTAATCCTTTAATAGTTATTTTAGCTAAAGAATATATGTATAGTAACTGTAATCAGTATATACTATTAAAATTAAATTTATGAAAAAGCCTGTAAACACTGTTTCATTGATCTGTTTAGTATAAAAATGATGGATGGAAAGTTAATAAAGTAAGAAAAAAATATCTGAGATGTTTCTTGTAAAGTAGTATTGCTTTGCTTTTAATATTTACTGGACCAGCCGTAAAATATGTGTCACATACATACATGCAAGCAGTTTTTCTTAGTAATATTGTAGTACAAAATATTTTTATACTATTCAACAGTAGCCATCATTACACAATTTTTTAAAAAGAAATTTAAATATTATGATTTGTATTGTATCAAAGACTTGGATTATACTTCACTGCTTTATTAGCTTTATGATTGCTTTGTAGTTATTCTTTATGCTTGATGATCATATTGAGGTTTGTGGCTCAATTGATGCTGAGTGGTTTGAAATTATTGCATACTAATTTACTGACGATATATTGATTTGTGAAAACATTGACATTTTGATATCTGTCACTGTGATTTGTTATTTAATTACATGTTTTTGTCTAAAAGATCACTTCAACTCCTGGCAACAAAGCTATTTTCAATTAACGTTATTCCAATTTTCCAAACCATTAAAAATTTGAGATTCAATTTGATACATGAAATTAATGAAACTAACACCCCTGATTAACTAATATTAATTGCAGAATATATTATTTTTTTACAAGTGATTAGCTTTTTATATTAAGTTCAATGATCAATAATCCTTCAGTAAATTTAAAACTGTTTTGAAATAGTTAGAAAGGCATAAATGATTGTCAAAGTGCTGTATTATTTATTCCTAGTGCACTAATGCAACTGTATAAGACTAAGGTTTTGACCCTTAGCCTAGTTAAATTATCATCATTATATAAAAGAGTGTAGCAATTGGTACCCAAAATATATATATAAATGTACTTTTAATCATAATTTTACATTAAATATTGTGGTGAACTTATATAATTTTTTAGTTTACAATTAAAGTTCAGTTAGACTGTAAATACAAGAAACTTTCTCATGATAATTTTTTAAAGTTTGGCAGATTTTAACACAAAGGATCAATGACATTTATTTTAAATTTTGAATAATGGAAATGTTTTATTTGTAAATTTACAACTTAGAACAGACAGTATTATTTTTTTTGTTCCCTAAATCATAAACCGATATATTTCTTAGATATTACTCACTTAATGCTTGTCAGAATTAAAAATATCAACTGTTGGAGACAAACTAATTAAAGCTTAAGTACATTAAACCTTTTTTTTTTACAAGACCTTCTCATGCAGTTTTGTAGAGTCCTGTTAACAAACATACTACAATTTTAGTGGTTGGAAAACCTTAGGCTTTCATTATGGTATGGCCAGGGGGCTAGGGAGCTTGACTCGCAATCATGCTTGCCCTTTCAGCTGTGGGGGAATTATAATGTGACTGTCAATCCCACTATTCATTGGTAAAAGAGTAGCCCAAAAGTTGATGGTGGGTGGTGATGACTAGCTGCCTTCCCCCTAGTCTTACACTACTAAATTAGGGACGGCTAGTGCAGAAAGCCCTC